TAAAATAAAAATAAATAAAATTTAATAAAATTACATACAAAAAAAAAAAAAATTACTTTTTCGCTGAATTATACAGGCTACTCAAGATTTATAGTAGCTCAGGTAATACAGTATTTGGAATATAATCTAAGTTCTAAAAGAATTTAAATCAGGGTTTTGAGATATTCGAACTTGAAAACGCCACATTAAAATTTTTCGGCTTTATTTGGGATATATACATATGAAATATATTTTTGTATATACATACATCTACTCTCTCTTCTAAATATTAAATAAATTATTTATCGTCATTTATCATCTAGACATCGCTTGTTCAATTAACTGATTCATAAAAACTGATAAGTTTTAAAGGGGAATTTCCCTTTTCAAGAACAAAGAACAACATTTTAAAGTATAGCTTGCAATATTCTAACTATTTCTTATCTATCCATATTAATGGATATGTAGCCTTTGAAGGAGCTAAAAATTTCCGACTTTCATAAAATGTATTCGCCTGCATAAAACCATTAAGCAGAGTGTCTAAAGCATTCAAATGTCGCATTGATTATCTCTCATATTGTTGCTGTTCTTTATGATTGCGGTTGAAAGCGTTTAATATTTCTTTTTTTTTTTTTTTTTTTTTTACGTTATGCAGCTCGGAAAATCCCTGAGCTGGGGCTAACTCAAAACTGAGGTCGTTTGGCTGGTAATTTATTTGCTGGACGTACGCTCGGATCGCCCTATATAGCCAGCTGGCATGTCACTTAACCAGGTTAGTTGCCATTGTATAGGCGATGAATGCACTACTCTCAACACTTGGCCTGCTGCTCCTCCAGCTGCTCGGTGACACTGGTGTGCACGGCTGGAGCTTTGGCTCCCTAACAGAGCAGAGCGCACCCCAGCCCAGCGATGCGGGCAATCTGTATAATCACACGCGTAAGTCGAAGCTGTCGAGTGGCATATGAAGCACTTCTGACTTGACCTCTTGCAGTGCTCGCGCGACAATTGATTGTGGGCACCTTGGTGCCGCCCATAACGGGCATAGTGACTCCCGGCGCAAGTAATTGCCGTTGCGTGCCTGCTGGATCCTGTCCGAATCCGTTGCCCACGCCTCCGAATGACGGCAGTGGTCAGCTGGATATACGCATTGTGAACAATGGCGGAGTGGTGAGTTGCTTGACCAGGACGTCTAGATGATGCAGGGACCATCAGTCTTATTCGTGTTCTGCTTTCAGCCCACAGCCAGCACCACAGCGGCTCCTTTGACATGTAACTATGGGCTTGTGGCCTGCTGCCAGCCGGGCAACTATCAGTGCGGATTGCGTTTTCCACCTCCAGCAGGCTCGGCTCTGGCTGGTCCCGGGCAAGCCAGCTTCGGCGCGTATCCCTGGCAAGCGGCGCTGTTGACTACAGCAGACGTGTATCTGGGCGGTGGGGCGCTAATCACAGCACAACATGTGCTGACTGCTGCCCACAAGGTCTACAATTTGGCGTGAGTACTTGGTGGCCCGCACTCCGCAGCTCGTCCTAATTCTCTGCCAGTTTGAACTCCTTTAAGGTGCGCCTGGGCGAATGGAATGCGGCCAGCATTAGTGAGCCCATACCGGCGCAGGATGTGCTCGTCTCTAATGTCTATGTGAATCCCGCTTTCAATCCCAACAATCTGCAAAACAATGTGGCCATATTGAAGCTGGCCACGCCCGTCTCCCTTACCAGCCGCTCCACCATTGGCACCATTTGCCTGCCCACAGTCAGCTTCGTGGGACAGCGCTGCTGGGTGGCTGGCTGGGGCAAGAATGACTTTGGGCCGACGGGCGCATACCAGGCGATTATGCGTCAGGTGGATGTACCTCTAATACCGAATGCCAATTGCCAAACGGCACTGCAGTCCACGCGCCTCGGGCCGGCCTTTGCTCTCAACCCCATCAGCTTCATCTGCGCCGGCGGCGAACCTGGCAAGGATGCGTGCACCGGCGATGGCGGCTCTCCCCTCGTCTGCACCAGCAATGGGCTCTGGTATGTGGTCGGCCTCGTCGCCTGGGGCATTGGCTGCGGGCAGGCTAACGTGCCCGGGGTCTACGTCAATGTTGGCGCCTATTTGCCCTGGATACAGTCAACGCTTTCACTGTAGGCCCAAAGGCCCCTCGCTGAGTCATCGATAGCTCTCGCTAGCTTGATTAGTAGATCCCATTATCATTAGACGTTAATCAATTATAATAAAAAACTTATTTATCTCCATTTGTGTTTATGATATTTCAGCCGTTTTTCTTTAGATATAATCTGAGCAGTCAACCGATTTGTCATTCAATCAATCTACTGACTGATTTGATATTGTTCTTAAAAGATTAGCCAGGTGGCGACAGACAGTAGATACTGATGACTCTGCCAGTAATAGGCCAGGAGATTCTTGCTCACATTTTCTCACATTCATGGGCTTCAGTTGTTAGTTAAAACAATGAACGTTTACAAAGACACTTTCATAGTGTCATATATCAAAATATAATGAGGAACAAAAAACAATAATTCACAAATTTACATTCCAACTCACGTGAGTTAAATGCAATTAAGCGTATTCATTGAGCAAATTTACTTTTGTCGAATGCTTACAAACTTCAAAGCTGAGATCATACGGAAAATACTTAAGTACAGCTCATAATAGTTTACAACTTTTCTTACTCAAGTCTATGACTTTACTTAAGTGCAGTTTAGAGAGGGAGTGAGTGAAATAGAGTGAGAGACAGAGAAAGAGAGAGACCGAAAGATAGATAGAGAAAGAGAGTGAGAGTGAGGTATGAAGAGGAAATGAGAGAGAAGTAGAGAGAGATAATAACGAGAGTGAGAAATAAATAGAGGAGTTATGCCTTAAAAAAAAAATATTTAAAGCTTAAGAGCAAAATAACAATTTAATGGGGGATGTCTGTTAAAGCTGGAAAACTTAATATTAACCCTATTTTCCTGTCTCTCATTCTGAGTGCATCATCTCTATGAATGCATTTAAACATTTAATCTGTCAATTGACTCAAATAATTATTCTGATTTACGACTGCTGACAGAATAATCTAATAACCATTTGCATTGAAAATAATTACTTTACTAACAAAAGAATGTAAATTGTTAGATATTAGGTCAAAGCAATCATTATTAGACTTGATAAAGTGGTAAAATGTTTTATAAAAATAAAAAGACAAAAAGAAAAATTAACAATAATAGAATAGAAGAGTAATATCATTATGAATAATACTAATAAAAATAATTATGGTAATAAGAGAACAATCGGACCCCCCATGAGCCTTATCCATATTTTTCGCATGAAGTGTACCCACATTTGTAGACGCATCAGCTACAACAGGTTGCTTTCAGCATTGAGACATGTGTTACCGTTGTAGTCGCTGTTGTCGTTGTTGTTGAGCGCACACAAACGCAAATGCCAGGGCAAGAGCACGCACACGGACGCACTCACTCACACAGAACAATGCGATTTTTTACACAAGGGCGCCTCCTTTCACGCCCTCCAAGAGGACGCTCAACTTTGCTCATTTGCACCCAATGCCCTCGGGTGTACTAACCAAACCCCAGCTTCGACCCAGCCCCAACCCCCATTACAACACCCCCCCAACTGCCAACTGCCAGCTGCAAACTGCCAACCGACACCGCCCGGCCCCTGTGTGGCACTCCATGGCCCATGCTCCATGCCAAAGATGATATGAAATTTAAATGAGTTCGCATTTTGCAGTGCCAATTGCACAAGAATGTTTTTGGACGTTCACACTGGGCTTATAAGCAGCAATTGGCGTTACTTGGCGCTAGAAAATAGTTGCCTTCTCGTCTCAGATAGTGCCTCGAACGCACGTGGACGTTAATGCACAACGGAAACCGGAAATTTTACTTGTCGCACTGACCGCAGCAAAAACTGAGTAAGCCGAAAACTGCAAGCGGCAAATGACAGGAAGCGACAAAACAAAAACAAAACATAAACAGAGAAACCGTTAACCAATCAAGAGCAATGGTTGTGCATTGTGAACTGCTAAATACCCTGCACTAGGTATAATAATAGAAGTGGTGGATGATTCTATATAATTAATGGAGATCCAAATACTAATTATTTCACATTAAAACTAAATATAAAAATCTTTAAAATCATAAATGAGATATATAATATTTAAAATGCGCATATAATTTATATTTGATTTTCACATTCACTATTCATGTAGATTACAATATTCAAGTAAATCACATATTTATACCCCAATGAATAAAAACAAATAGTGCTGCAGCAGAGGACGAGACAGAAGGGATTCCATAATCTTATTTCAAAATTTAATTATTTACGTGTCTGGTTGCCCGTCTGCCCGTGCGATGCAGAAATGCGCATCGTCCAAGTGTATGAGAAAAAACTCACTCACTCAAACGTAAAGAGCTCAACGAAAGCAAACGAGTCACGAGTCCTTCGGCTCCAAGTCGAGTCATTTGAATGGCTCGTGCTTCAGTCCGTCCTCGGCTCTCGTGCGCAACAGACGTCGCTTTCTGCAGGCGCATGTAAACGATAGTTTAGAACATTTCAAATAGCAATAATAATAGCAATACCAATAGCAATAGCAACAGCAACAACAAGCACAACAACCAACAACCAAAAGTGTCGGCTAGAAAGTTAGCCAAACGAAGCGAAAGCTAAGAATCTACTCAGTCGCATTTGCCGCGTGTGAGTGCCGAAAAGCAAGTGAAAGTGAATTTAAGCGATGCAAGTGCCGTTGCATTTTTGCAGTGTTGTGTAATCGTCATTTTGGCCAGTGCTCCAGTATGTGAAATCGATTAATTAGCAATCGACATCGCCAACGACAGCCGTTGGTATTTTGATCGTGACCCGTTACTTTAATGGCATAGCATTAGTCAGCGTGTGTGTGCCAGTGTGCGTTGGTGTGTGCTTGCGTGTTCATGTGTGTTTGTATGTGTTTTTGTGTGTGTTCAGTGTGACACACTTTGCTGTTGTTGTTATTGTGCTTTGCTTGTCTTGGCCATTGTTGTTGCTCTTTGTGTGCGCTGCGCCTTGTGAAATGTCCTTGATGTCGTCGCTCTGTCTGACTGCCACGCCCCCGCGACACTTAACAAAAAAAAAAAACTTTATTAAATCAAACCGTTTGTGGCTATTCCAGTGACTACACAGTCGCACGAAATTATCGCAGACCAAATGAAATAAACGAAATATGGAAAATTCCTTCAAGTACAACAACTGTGGAGCTATGGAAAAATAAGCAAGCATACATTTTGGGTGTTTACGTCATGTTTGTCTACGCTTAAAGGCGTTTGTATGCCAACAGCCCTATTCATATACATATATAAATGTTATATGTAGAAGTCTGTTCCGTATGTGCGCCTGTGTTTGTTGTGCCTGTCTTTGTGTTAGCCTTTGTATTGGTACTCGTTTAGGCCTCAGTACATCACGTCACATGCCACTAGCCTGACAGTGAATCCAAAATTCTGAAGGCAGCCGCCTCATAAATGCATGCCAACTACTATTTAATATTTATACAGATACAAGCATATTATCCCCAACTGTATAAACTGTACAAACTGTCCAAACTGTCCAAACTGTGTGTAAACTGTTTGCCTAATGCAAATTCAACAAGCTGCACCTACCATTTCCTCTAATAAGCCAACTCGCTGAGCTGTTTGTACAAATTTACGTAAGTGTTGACATCCATTTGCATTCATTACAGACTTACTGCCATACATACATATGTGAATGCGTGCTACATATATATACCGAATCGAAACCAGCTTGAATTGTCAAATGTTATATATTCATATTCATGCTTGAGATTATTCAGTCGATACATATAAACAAACGAAAACACAAACTCCTAACACTTGCGCTTCAAAATTTCTTTTATTCGTATTTTGGTATATAGTTTAGAAAATATATATGTATGTGTATTGATTAGAAATTAATTACACGTTTTTTACTAAACATGAAAAAGGCAACTTTAAGATGCAGTTATACAAATTTCATTGAAATATTTATATTATTTGTTTGTTTTTTAGTCATAAGATAAATATATTTTTATAAATTTGCATTAAAAAAATGGCGTGGAATATCGAAAACATACCAAATTTTATACCTTTTTATACAAGAATTATATTTATATTTATACAAGAATATATACAGTCGACTCTCGAATTATCGAATGTTTGAAATATTAAAAGAGATTCTATAGGGGACTGTATTTAGAATCAAAAGCATTTATAGTTTCGATCTATGACCAGATAGACTTAGGTCGTCTTCCTGATCACTAAAAACATTTATTGTTTATCTAGTCGGTAAAGTTGTTTTCAACATGTTCTGGGTATGAAAAGTATGAATAATTTTCTATGTACTGACTACTTTATATAACTAATCTGAGTAGAATTTTAATCCTCTTAATCTACATAATCTATAATAGATATTGACAATAAGGTACGGCAGTAATTTATTGAATCGCTGTCGTTCACTTAATTGCATTAAAGTAATTTCAGCAAAGTGCATTTACTACGTATCTAGGACACAGAATCGAGTTTAGTTTTCGCTTTTCACATTTCGCATTTTGCATTTGAACTCCCAGTGAAGCTGTCAATTTTGATCAAAATTTGTCGTTTCCTGTCCGCCTCACACATGTCAATTGACAAATCCACTCAGAATCTGAGGTATGCAAATGACATTAGCTCGCGCAGTGCTCATCAAGTCTATAAATAAATGAGGAGGATATGGGCGGATAGTCTGACATTTGAGTAGACGATGACATTTTCCTGACATGCATGAGCATGTCCTTTATGTAAAAGTATGTCTCTGGCTGTCTGCGCGCGTGTATGTGTGTGTCTGTGTGTGTGTGAGAGTGACAGAGCGTGGATTACTCATTTCGCGTTTAATGCGTAAACATAATTTTGCTTTCTCTAACGTTCTGCCGCAAATTCTAACCATCAACAGCCAGCCGCCAGCATCCGCCCTCCCGATGCGTGCGGCTGGAAGATACGAGATAGTCGTTAGCATAGACTCGTTATGTCAGTCCGAATGGTATTCCATGGCAGCGCCGTAATCAGCTAAGCAAATGAGTCTACTGCATCCGGGCCAAGGAGGCAACAACTTAGTTACCCGATGCTGACATGCATGTTAATTTGCCTGGCAACCTGACACTCAACAATGCCTTTGTATTAGGCAGCGCGCAGTGGATGCAGTGGATGCCAGTGAATGGAATCGTTTCCACAATGAAAAGCAACGCAATCAGCGATACGAAACTCTACGAATTGAGTTTGCAGAAAAACTGGATAAACTAAATTAAATTTGCTTGCGGAAATTTTAAGGATCAACATTAATACGGGCGGACAAATTAATATATATTAAGACAGAACAAAACTGATATTACATAATGCACACATACAAACTCTGTTCGTGTATTTAATGGCATACTACTAGATCATAAAATTACCGTTAAGTGTCCAAATCTAATCAATAATAAAAGTCCAAGCACTCAGCTCTGTTGGGCTAATCAAGTATATACATGACGCATATAAACTCTTGCACGAGTTTATAGTTTACGAGGTCAGCCACGCCTCCTGCTGCCTTGCACACTTACTGTGAATGCGGGCTATGTAAACAAAACAATAATGGGCTAAGTAAATGTACATGCTCCAAATATTAATATTTATAGTTTGGCCATTTATTATTTATACCCCGCATAGCAGGGGAACAATGCGAACACGTTGTTTTGCCAGGTGCTCAAAGTATACAAAGTATTTTCTACCTTTTGCTATTTATCTAGAGCTATGTACATTGTGGGCATGTGCTACCAAAGATTTGTTATGCTGGTGATGCACTGCTGCAGACTTTTAATCTTATCCGTCTGTCAGATCCGCTTTGTAAACGTGATGTTAAATCTCGGCGCTTTTTATCTGGCACAACAATAGTTGGCACTGTCAGCAACGGCAGCACTAGAACAGCAGCAGTCCCAGACCCAGCATTATATATGGGCGTCACCCTGGCCAACAGGATTGCATTCACGGCCCACGTTCCGTTCACCTGTCCACCTACATTTTCACCACCTGCCTGCACTCACAGCGCAAAGTTTTTGTCCCCAATGTGAATCGAATCATTTGACATGTGGCACGCGTGTCATGGACTTACACACACACACATACACTCACACAGTTAGCAGGTGTGTGTGCTGGTGCGTGATGCAGAGGCTGAGACAGAGGCAGAGGCAGCTATCAGTTCACTCATTCAACCATTCAGCCATACATCCGTCCATTCGCCCATCCATCGAATCGTTGCTGTTTGCTTTCAAATTTTTGCAATCGTTTTTGACATATGTCGCTAGCATTTCACATCAGACTCTTAGAATTTTGATAGCTTTTGCTATTAGAAAATTATTTCAAAAATTCCATCTTTGCTCCAATGCTTTGCAGGGTATCTCTGCTGTTGGTCATTACAATCGATTGGCTAGCCCAGACCTGCATTTTCTTATTAGCTGCTGTTACCAATTAACTTAATTGAAGCTTATACTAAAAATAATATATAAAGCTAAACGAAAAGCTTTAAATACATTAATTAATTACGATATTTTTTTAAACGAATTTTGTAAGCTAGCGCAGCAATTTCTTCAAGTGTACGCTTACATAAGATAATATTATGTATATGTATATAGAATTATGTGTGCTTATACATCCGACGACATTGCTTAAGGCAGCCATAAATTTGTTTGGCTTAAGATTCCATTAAAGAAAACATTGCCTACTTTTAGGGCCCACGTGCTCAACGATTAAACATTGAAGCGCGCTCACACACATACAAACATATATTGCGCCGTACAATTATTTATGAGAGCCGAGCCATTTATTCGTATGGACATTTTTCGACCGAAATTTCATGTGGAGCAGTTTTGATTTATTGCCCAATCTTGCCATTTGACATGACAACAATAACAATGAGACCTGAAACACCGCTGCAATTATGGAACGACAGCGTGGGCGGCATATTCTTGCTTTCCACGCTAAAAAATATTAAAGAATGTTGCGGTTTCACTTATATACGGTATGTGTGTATCTGGCTTACATTAGTGAAAGAAATAAATCGCTGAATTCCCTTTAAAGAACTTTAAAGTAAATGAGCAAAAACTCTAAATAATGAGAGCAATAGACAGTATCTCTTGGGGTTAAATGTGGGAATATGTTGATGAAATGCAAGTTTATTTTTATAGATATAATATAAAAGTCGAAGCGCCTACAGACTCAAATCGCATAAGCAGATATCAGAAGCAGATAGATTTGAAATTTAGCGAGAACAGAGCGTTATCCATGCTATCGCTTCGCTTGCAACTTATTTATTTTAAATGTTATCCTCTTCTGTTGTTCATTTGCTCCCAGCGGAATTGACAGCTTAAGTTGTGTGTTAATTCGCTAGCAGCCCGGCAGGCCAATCAGATTAATATATGCAAATAAAGTGAAAGAAATAAATGCGAGTTGTTGCTTAAATGCTTAAATGCGACTATCGCAATTCCCTTAAGTACATAGCTTTTATTTAAATATATA